GGAGTGAAGTTGAGCCCAGGAAGAAGGGAGGGGTGGGGGGAAGGTGTTTTAGGATTTGGTTTTATTTCTCATTATCCTACTCTGATTTGATTGGTAATAAATTAAACTAATTTCCCCAAGTCGAGTCTGTTTTGCCTGTGACAGTAACTTGTGAGTGATCTCTCCCTGTCCTTCTCTCGACCCATGAGCCTTTTGTCGTATTTTTCTCCCCGCTGTCCAGCTGAGGAGGGGAGTGATAGAGCGGCTTTGGTGGGCACCTGGCATCCAGCCAGGGTCAACACACCGCAAATCCCATTCACTCTTCTCTCACAACTTTCCCTCTCTTTTGCACTTGTTTTTGTTTTATAGTCCTGCTTTTCCTTTGAGGAGAGAGCATCAAATAAAATTTCAGATGGCCAATTTCATATGGGCACCGAAGAGCTAACAGACAGGAGATGGAATAACTAGTGGGAGTTATGTGTGCTACTGATTGATTTGTTCTTTCTGATGTATCTATCATATCATAAATAAGAAGCAAACCCCTACTAACTCTGCTGCTTATGCACACAATGCCTGCAGTAATCTCTGCCGAAGTCCCCCAATTATAGTACTCTTACCACATGAAGAATAGCACTGCCACAAATCTTTTAATGGTATCATGCACATTTTCTCCAACCCTCATGTTGTTCAACTCTTGCTTTGGTCAATAAGGAAAAGAAGAGGATACCACAAAAGCAGCAGCTTGCTCAAGAGAAAATAGGTAAAAGGAAAGGGTACAGAGTCTAGGTCAGCTGAAGTTCTATTAACACAGAACATTTTTAAGACATAAATGAATAATTATGGAATTTTCAGCCTACAGAAATTAGCATCACTAGTTATCAACTCCTAAAAAATTAACTAGTTTTGTTTCATTAGGAACTTTACAATTTAGCAAAAGATCTTACACAATTAATTTAAAATAGGATAAGGGCTTATCATTAAAGAGGACTACAAAAATTATAGTATTAGTTACATGTGTGTATATATATATTTAATTTTATGTTCTGTTTTTAAACTCGCTCTCAACACACAAACTTCCAGGTATACTACACCAAGAAAGAATGCTTCAGGGCTACTGTAAATATATTTGGAGTCTATCAGCCTTCCATTACATAATAGAAAAATGTATGCAAGATTTATTGTTCTGAATTTTTCTTTCTTCATATGTAAAAGACATATCATTATTAGAAGCATAATTTGAAGAAATTACCACTGAAACAGAGAATCCCAAAGGATACAGGTATTACAGAATGCAGAGCAATAAAAAAGCACCACCTGGAGGTCACCAAGAATATACTATGCAGAACACAATGACGACAAGCACCCATTTATGACAGAATGTATCTTAAGCTATCATACAGATGATAATCATCTCTCCACTCTTCACTGCTATTTTCTCCCTCTCACCCCATTCTCCTCCCCTCACAAGTTCCAGGCTGCTAATGTTCAACTTCACAAAAAAACATTATTCAGCAAATTAATTGCTTTAAGCAGATGTTACAATAAACACTAAAGGTACACTCTGAAGCAAAACTTTTCTGTTTCTATAATCTAAATTTTTCTGTTGTACTTTGCGTTTATAGAGCAAAATAGTTACTAGAGAAAAATAGTTGGAATCTTTTTCCTATTTATATATCACATACAGAAATATCATTTCAATAACATCCCTAGCATGAGTTAGTTTTCAATTGCGATTAAGCAGTAACTTGGTACGAGTAGTTTAAAGGGTGTATTTTCTTTAAAAAGGACTGAGTATTTGTCCTATGAAATGGTAGTTGTTTTGAGTCATTATATCATCAGGCCTCAAGCCACTTGAATATTTAGGCCACAATGGCTAAACATGTAATTATATTGTTTATTTAAAACAAAAACCAAAACAACACTTGTGTGCATTACAAAACTTGCAGCTCCTGATTTATCCTAAGAAAAAGTGAATAAGCACTCATTAGAAAAAACAGGAGAATTATATGAAATTTTACCATTAATTTAAGTAGAGCTCTAATTTCAGGCAATATTTGAAACAAGCACTGTTCACAACAATGGAAATGCACAGAAACCGAAGGTTTGCTCACCTTTGGAGGCTTCAGACTTTTCCTCTTCTGTTTTTTAGACCGTAATAACCGTTCCCTTTCCTAGAAGGAAAGAGAACATTTTGGTATGGGTTTCTTTTAAAAAATATTTAGATATGTCTAACACAAAGAAATATCATTAAAATTTTCTTAAAGCCTATGGTAAAGCTAACACAAAGACAATGTCTTTATCTTTTTTGAATAACACCATGTTGATATAACACCACGCTGTACTGCAACTTTATCCCTTTAGCAAACAAACCTTCAGCCATATACTTTACACGCTTGATGGGAAGTTGGCAAGAAAAGGCTTTGTTAAATACTGGGCACAGATTTCTGACAGTTCTTTTGACTCTTTTACCAAGAAGCTCACTATGGAAACAGAATTCACATTGTCACTCCAGTGTTCAAGCATCCTGAAGAAGCAGGTCGGTAGCTAAAAATGAGTCCAGCCTTAGTAATGACAAGTCATTATATCAGGCATACTCCGATTTACAAGCATGCGTATGTAGATATAGTGTTACATGTGACATCCTTGTAGGGCAAAAGTCTCAAATCCAAAGGCGCTCAGTCTGTGCCAACTTAGCCGGTGTCTTTTTTCTACCATGGCTTTGGAACAAGATCACAATTAACTATATCGTAACAGGAGGAGGTTATAACTGGAAAAATGCAGGGTTTATGAACATTTAAGCCCAAGAATACTGCCTTGAATTCCAAAGGAGAAGAGGAGGAAGAGAAGGTAAAAAATGCAAAGGAGCAAGCAAAAAAAAAACCCAACACAGGAGGCAGGTGATCTGTCTCCTTGCCGTTTTCCTGATTCTTTCCTTAGCTCTGCATCTTTGTTTGCAGCACCTCTATTTTTAAAAGAATGATAGCAGTTCCAAGTGCTTCTCTAGCAGTTATTGCTCACTGCATGGTATTATTGTATTCAGAGTTATTTGCTTTACATTCAGTTCAGAAACTAGAGAAACAGGAAGCTCCCAGGGGAAATCAGAATAAAATAATTCATCTTTATCAGCACATTGTTCCAGGAATGAAGTTTTGGAAAATACGAAATAATTCAGAAAAGCACAACAACTTATATAGCACCTTTAATATATGTGGTTTTCAAAATAAGGAAAAGTAATGATTGCCAAGGTAGAATGGAGCGGGTATTTCAAGCTGCAGAATAATATAATATATTAAGCTAAACCTGAAACCATGTAGATGAATTTCATAGTGTTGGAGAAAAATGCTCCCTCCTCAGGTACCTGGTTAAGGCACAGTCCCTGCTTTAACCTGGGTCTCCTGCATCCCAAGCAGGTGTCCAAACAGTTGGACTTTCCTCTCACTTCAGTGCAGAATGAACAAGCACTTCCAAAATCCCCCACTCCTTCCTGTTTCTAACCTTGTTTGTAAGAAGACTGCTTAATTTACTGTCTCAATAATACATCAAGCTACCAGAACAATAATATTGCCAATTAAAAAACACCATTTGCTGAATCACTAGCATCTTTTGCAATCATCTGAGTTTATCTTGACAGCTTTCTTTTTAAGTCCTGACCAGAACACCACTGTTGTGGGAGAGCTCAAGTTGATATGGCTTCAACAGCATCAAAGATATCCTACAACTGACAACGTTAATCAATTCAGAGAACCCTAATGCCTAAGACTATCGTTCTTATTTCTGTGTATCATATTGGTCTCAGCTGGAGGTAAGCTGATGAATTTTGTATTAATCAGGTATGTGACATGTGGGTCATTCTTGATAATTATGATACATTTATATTGTGTAGAGGTGTGCTTTGAGCCAGAAAAGATAGCTAAAAAGCATAATGGAAGTGCAGAATTCCACTGCATTCATATCGAAGGCAAAGCATCAATTAGTTTGTACTGCCAACCAAAGCAGTATCCTAGTTAACAATTTAACTTATTTCTGCGAGTGGAAAAGTATCTGTAAATAGGAAACAAAGCCAAAATGAAACCATATTTTAAAATATTTATTTATTTTACTTTCACACTAAACACAATACTATTTGACCGAAGTCAGGATACAATATATTTCCTCGGGTTACTGTCTGAGAGGGTAAAAAGAGAGTCCTTTCATACCCACTTTACACTGAAATATAAGTGAGGTTGTATCTGCCATATACTGGGAATTTAATACCATGTCACAGTCCCTGTCTGTACAGTTGTATTTGGAAGGTAAAGCAGCATTGCTTTGTGAGTCAGACCCTACATCATAGTGTCTGAATAACATCCTACTGCTTGTAACACTGGAGAATGCACGCAGACATCAATCTTTGGCACTGATTATAGAGAGAAATCCTGGGTCAAAATCTCAGAGGAACTGCCAATAATAGAGACAATGTTCCAGACAGAGCAATAACACATCTTGTTGTTTTATCTTTTTGGATCTTCTATATTTATTTTCAATGCTGTATCCAATTGTTTAATTTTCTATTTATACAGAATGACCTTAAATTCGTTTTCCCATTTTGTAGCAGTCAGTAGTGCCACTCGAGATGCTCTGAGTCTGCCTGAGTTCCAGATGCTGCTCTAGAAGGGCGGGGGTCTCTCAGAAATGATATATCATTTCTGCCAGCACCAGAAGGGTGTATCATAAGTTGCATTAAATAGCACTAGACACCACTAACATAACTCAAGAGTCCTGATCAAACAGTGCAAACATCTATGAGCATCATTTTAAGTAGGCTTCACAGTCAGAAGGTAGCAGCTGTGCAATTCTAATCTTAAACTATGCTGCTACTTTTGGTTAGATGAACCATGCATATTTCTCTCCATTTGTTATAAAGACAGCTAGTGTGGCCAGCTCAGAGATGCTTAGTTAGGTGAAATTAATGCCATCCTGCATGTTCCTTTCTTTTAGGAGAACTTCTAGGTCAGGGGAGTGGTTGGGTTTGCACCAGGGTCTACATCCAACACGTTTCAGTCGATAAGTTTTGGAACGTGTCCTTTCCTCAAGTTCCTCAGTTGTTGACGGCCAATTTTGCAAGTAAGGTGGATGGACTGATGCACTTCTTTTCACAAGCAGCTCGTAACAGGTAAATATTTTGTAATACAAAGATTCATACACATTCCAAAGAAATTCATTCACTACCTGAGAAATAACAAAAACCCTTCAATGCCAAAGAACTATTTCTGTATCACTACTACAACTGGAGTTAAAATACTGCTCTCAGATCTTTAGCTTGCCTATAGATGTGTGTGCATGCAAGTATGTATACCAGTCATAAGCATTACCACTGTGAGATCATCAATAACATGCTGCTGTTCTTTGACTTGCAGTCTAAGGAATTCAATTTCTTGTTCCTCCCGTGTGTTGCTGAGATCATTCAAAGATGTGTGCCTCTTCAGTGCTGGTTGTGCAGATAACTTCTCTTTCTACAAAAATTAAAATAAAATTGAAAAAAACCCAAACATAAATGACGTTTTAAAGTGTCTTGCTGTAACAGGAGGAAAATTCTCATGTATGATGTAGTAATCAAGAATTCTTTGGACTCGTCAGTGCAGACTCTACTACAACATAAGGCCTCTTTCAACAAAAAAAATATTACACATTCTCTATGCCTCAGTGTTAATATCTCACATAAGATATTTTAAAACAGACTCAAAGAACATAGTCTAGGACAAAATTAGCAGACAAGTGAACTCAATTATCTAACATAGTAGAGCCTTTGGCACATGCACTCAAACTCAGTTCTGACTTCTAATCATAAAAGCAGCATTTTTTAAAGCTGATTTTTAGTCATACACTTTCATAGCCTCCAAACACACTTTATCTATCTGTGATCCTTTCCCTTAATCAGCGTGAATTGATACAACACAAAGCACATGCCACTCTGAATTTAGAGTATGAATATTCAGTTGCATTGGCTGAATTTAAGACTCTGAAATGGCTGTATTAGAGCAAAAGCCTTACAAGCACTTCCACCTCAAAAGTAACCGTGTGTAATGTGTTCTAATAACATGATGTCAGAGATGATTACTTACCAATTCTACATTTTCCCTTGATAGATTTTTTATTTTCTCTTCCATTCTCTGGATACATTGCAACATATCATCATTCTTTTTGCTCATCCTTTTATTTTTTTCTACCAAAGGCTTCAGCTGAAGTTCTGTCTCCCGAGAACGTTTCAGCTGCAAATGGCAAAGGAACAAAGTTAGCTGTGCTTTAGTTTATACTTGTAGGAAAGAAGAAATACGTGTGTTTTTACTTGCCTTCTTCCTTCATTCAGAAAGCTTAGTTCTTTTGTTAAGTGGCATCTGATACAGACTACTGCTGAACTAAGAGCTACAGGAGTCCAAACAAATAAGAAATAGTATTTTTGTACAATCTACAAAAACACTAGATCTGGTCACTGGATTTTGCTCTTGGAAAACACTTATGATGCTCCATAAAAGTGATTTCTTGATAAACTAATCTTGTTGTATATAAGCTTCTTGTGAGCAACTAGGTCTCTAGGGTAGTCGTTTTCACTATCCCTTAGTAGGAATAAACTCTTCCTACTCTACTTTAAAAACCCTATACCTAATGTGTAATTAGAGCAATGAGAAAGTCAGCCAGAGGGCACAGATTCAATCTCAGCATTCTGCTGACATTTTCAAGCTCCTCAATTTTGTTCCTGTGGTTTTATGATGTTAGACAATTATGTGAAGCAAATTACTGCCCTTTCGTGCATTTGTGTGTATTCAATATTTCACTCTTTCTATTTCATTAATCCTTGAGCTGTTTTGTTTGTAAAAAATCTATTTTTTCCAATCAAAAGATTTTTCAATTTACTGAGCTTTAACTGGAAATGAGAAAAAGATAATCTTTCTCCTGAGATAATTTCACTGAGTATTGGTTTTCTCTTTCATTCTCAGAAGAAAATTATTTTTCACAGTGCTTAATCATACAAGCTTACTGATATTACTGGTTTTATGTAATATTGTCTCACAATAGGACAAAACCTTCTCCATATCTTTTCCAAAATACATTTCTTATGCCTCTAGGTCAAGCATCAAGAAGAGTATTTCACCGAGTTGTACATGCCCTCCATCTAGAGGGACACTGAAGGATAGATGTTGCAGTACTTTAGCATTCTTCAGGGATGTTTTGAATGACATATGTCCGCAGAAAGGATTAGGAGGCTGAATTATCTTGTCTTTATATAATGCAATCTTGAAAAAAGGCAAGATGTTCTTGAGAGTACAGAGCAGAGAAAAGCAACTGTAGCAGTAAAAGGCGGGGGGCGGGGGGAGGGGGAACAAAACAACAAACACTCAGCACCTAGGCAAAGTAGGAAAAATGGTGAACTGCACCCAGGCTAAAACGCATGTTTTTCTTACCCCAAGAAACTTACGTTGTTAACGAGGAATCAATTTTTGTCATATGAAAGGGCAGTTTAGACTATACAGCTATTTAAAGAGGAAAAGTTTAAAGAAAAAGATTATGTTCTCAATTCATCCAATTTTAGTCTAGCATTTTTCAATTGACTTCACCAATTTAGATTCAGCCAAGATGCTGGACAAGAAGATTTCAAAAATTAGTTCCTCTGATAATCACTGAGATGTCATAACTAAATTAAGTCCTTTTATCATAAAGCAAAGCCTTCATATCTCAACAGGAAGAGCTAAGTCTGACAAAGCAAGGAGGAAGATGTCAATGCTTCACTCACTTATAGGACTGACACGTGGCAAGAGTGCCCTCCCCTTCTGCCCTCACCATACATAACAGCATTATTTTAGAATCAGATACATAGGTTGCATGAGGAAAAAATTCCATCTGATTACAATGAAAAATCTTTTCCTCTGCCACTAGAATTAGGGCATTATAAGAGGACATGTAAAAATTCCTTTTGTTAAAACTCGCCTCCCATTGCAGTCAATGGGAGTTTTACCATTAACCTCAGTACAAGCAAGTAAGTAGCGATGCAGGCTAATAAAATTCATTCTTAAAATTTGTGTCATATCCTTTCTTTTGTAAGTTACTATCGCTCTCCTAGGATAATTTCACCTACTTAAGAGATTTCCCTTAGGAAATGGCAGATTTTTCATCACTAGCACAAGAAAACTTCTTTAACTCCTAGCTAGTATAAGCATGTCACAAAACCACTGTCAAATTTCAAAAGGATTAATACAGTAATTTAAGCGCATAGATTATGCATGTTTTACACAACATCATTACACAGTGCCACAGGCAAGCTAGCAGTCAATTTGATTATGATGACTCCAAAATAAATTTATAAATTTTTATTTTTCTGGAACAAGAGAGATTCCATCCATGTCTTTTATGGTCACAAAGTGAATTTCTATAGAAATCTCTGTTATATTTAGATATAGTTGATTGAGGCCAACCAGGACTAATTTGTAAATTATTTATAACACTGACTTTCCAACATTAAATCTTTTACCATAAAGATGCCCTCCCAGTCACCATCTGTGTTATTACTAATTAATTTACCAGTTCATTTCTTTCATCTGCTAAGAGAGTATTTCTGTCTTCCAGCTTCCTTATTACAGCATTCAGTTCGGCGATTTTTAACTGAAATCTCCGCATGTCTCGTTCATCCAAATGCTGCTCCTTTACATCAAAAACATATAGATACATAAAATTACCTTTTAAAAAAAATTCACTATCCATAATTTAATATCATGGTTTAGCAAGTGGATTGTGTAAGTTTAATATAGACTTGTACATCAATGTCTGGAAAACTTATTTTAGTTAACTGAAACACTAAACAATAACATCCTGTGGAAATACTACATGATATATTACATGAAAAGTATCTATTTGTGAAATGTATGTAAAGGTTTAACAATTTAAAAAAAACCCAGCAGCTAGATAAGTAATATTTCACGTATTACTGGTTACTTCTCACCAGATTTCTTACTATCAGCTAAAACAATTCTAGTGCATAGGACACAGATTAAAATAACATGGCTCAGTTTTTGAGAAGTATAGTTTCTATTTGCCATTGGTTAAAATAATTCCTAAAGTTATGAAATTCATAGCTAAGAAAATAATGGGGTTCACAGTTGAAGCTTACAATGTAAATTCTAAAAGTTCTATATCCACATATTTTTCAACATTCTTTGAAATTCAAGAGGTCCAAGGAGTTTCTAAATCATCAATGAAACAGCACAGTGCAGTGCAGGGCCATTTACCATGAATTAGTCCTTCCAGTATTTTAAAAGTAACCACAAAACCAATGTGAACACCCAGGCAGCAATTATCCTGTGTTGAACATTTGAAGAAAACACAATTTTCTTACCGGGCTTCCCATCAGTTCGGTGATATCCCCCACTCCCGCAGGAAGCTCTCTCTTAGGACTACTGTGGTATCGTTCTGCCTCCTTCACTTGGACAAGCTGTTCATCCAAAGCCTCTTTCTGAAGGAGCAGTTTCTGTGTATGGCCTGTCTGGACACCAAGGTCTTTCTCCAGAGCCAGAATCACCCTGTCTTTGCCTTTTATCTCATCCATCTGGAAAACGGAAATAAAGAAGGACGTTTCTGTAACATCTCCAAGTGTTCACTGCATGCATACCCACAAGCTTGCAAAAACAAAGTTCTGTTTCTCTCAGAATTATACCACCACCCAAACTATGGTTGCTAACAAGAAGATATATCTCCTCTGAAGCCTTTTCCCCTCCCCTTAAAAAACTTTCAGCCTTCACTTGATGATGAGTTTACTCGGTGCAGTCTCAACCCAAGAGACAAACAAAAATAGATGCAAACTCTGAAACAGAATACATAGCCACTGAAATCATCCACTTCATCTGAGGATACACACTTCTATAAGCAGAAGAAAAATCTCCCTTCACTATGTTTCAGAGAAGAAACACAGGGCTAGTACAAGATAAGACAAACACACCCTTTAAAACTCACCTGGGCTTTGTTTTAAAGCTTGAGCCATACACATTTGCCCCATGTTAACTCCCTCTTTATTAGTGAAAATCACACGTGGTGAATCTCTTCACAAACATTTAAAAATTAGTAGCATATACACACACACACATTTAAACTTAAAATCTTAAGCATACCTATGTATTTTATGTGCCCTTGTTGTAAGATTCAAATGAGGACTAGTCTTTGTATAGAAGGAAAAAAAGCAAATGCACACAGGCATTAGAATAAAGGGTAGGAAGAAATAGTTCTTAAACACCCTCTACAGTTACTGAACTGTGTTGTTCATACATCTCCATACCAAATAAAGCATACTGCTAGCAGTGATCTACTGCAGCTCTCGTAGGATTTGTCCCTCGCAGCATCAGTGTTAAATTCACTTTGGTACTATTCCAAATGCTAGAGGAAGTGACAATCTGCAGCAGTTACTATAGAAACAGATTTCTTAGCAACAATGTTAGCCATTAACAATATATTTATTGGAACTGTGCTGTATCTCCTTCAGTTTACTAAATTGTTTTCTTGGCCAACATAAACCCATGGAATTTTGGAAATAAGACTATTATAATCTTATTTGAAAATACAAAATAAAATCATGAACTTGTTAAACCATACATTTGTTGTTTATTGTAGTCCTACATCCATAGAAGTCCTTTATGTCAAGTTATACCAAAAAAAAAGAAAAAAAGGAAATGTTAGAAGTAACTTATAGTTAAGTCTGAATGATGTACAGGATTAACACAATCAGATTACACGATCAGATACAATTTGCTTCTTCAGGATTCTTGCCTTACTCCTTTCACAGTCTACAAAGGACATGAAATTAGTTTGTGCACAGAACCTGAGTGGCAGGAGATGGCCTGGCTGAAGCAAGTCAAGTCATGATTGAAGATAAAAAGGTCAGACTTGAAGTGAATAAGCTGGTCTAGACTACTTTTAAGTTCCAGCTGGAACTGATGAAGATTGGTTCTGATGGAGATTTCTTTCCTGACTTGGGAAGGTCGCTGGGTCTCAATTCCTCATCCAGTAAATAGGTATAATACTTCCCAGTACGTTAATTCAGATTTGTGAGACTTTCAAGTATGCCAAAAAGGACTTGCAGGAAAAGAATGCGGTTTTTATTAATGGAAGAATTTGCAACATGCAGAGTTTCAGAGGGACTGTGCAGCAAAGAGCAATGACAAAAATTAAGCAGCTGCTTCATTCACTGAATGCTATCTGTCACGCACACTGATCTATCAGGGACCCCTTGGGAGGAAAAAATGTCATGTAACTAAATACTGTGGACAGTTTCGCTTTCAATTACACAGGTGTTCACACTGAACATCTATTGAATTGAGATAGGAATTCGTCCATGCAAGGCATACATTTAACAAGGAAGAACCAAGGTTACATAGGCAGCCTTGATTTTAGTTACCCAATTAGTAGCACATTTCATACTCTTCATATTCTCACAACTTAAATGGTAAATGGAATGACATAGGTGTTTAAATTGGAAGAAAAAAGAAAGCAACGATCTCAGTACAGACTGCTACTTGCTGAACCACAGCAGAAGAGATCGTTTGAAACAGATGTGACCAGTGAAATCACGCCCATGTCACCCTTCACACACACTTCCATTGATCAAAGCACACAAGCTCACACACATTAGAGAGAAATGCCATGAAAGAGCATGGCTTTGGGGTGGGGGTTAGGGGAAGGCAGGGAAGAAGGCAGAATTCCCCTCTGCTCTTCCTACTACTGTTTTTTCTGCAAAAATCTACATGTGGTGAACCTTTCAGAAAAAAAGAAACACCCCATGTTTCAGTCAAATAGAAAAATCTTTGAGACTGATAATAATTGAAAGTAGCAATATAATAGCAATGGCTGCACAACCTTTTTTATTTTGGGCTTATATTTTAAGTTGCAGGTACGCACTAGAGAGTCTCTTACTCATGTAAACATATGCACAAGCACGCACACACACAAATACACAGAGCATTGCAATAGTGCTTATTTTTTTATAAGCACAAACTAGCAGAAGGAAGAATTTCTAAGCAACTAACTTATAACAAACCGATAAAGATGAACAGAACTGCAGCAGTAACGCCTCTACCTTAAGTTTGCTTTCAGAAGCCTGGGGCACAATACAATTCTCCTTTCCTCAAGGGGACAGTTACACCTTTGATTTCTCCAATGTAACTGCATCAACCCAGTCAATGCCTCAATTTTCTTAAATTTACCCCAATGCCTGACCCAAAGATTTACCATCTTTCTTCAGAGCAAACTTGTTCATCTTCCCTGTCTGCTTTCTTAACAGAGAGTACAACTTATAACAGAGTGTACAAATTACTTCAGAGAAGGAAAAAAAAGGAAGAGAAATATTTTACAGGGATACAACATCCCTCAGTTCCACATCGGAGAGATGGCAGGTCAAGGGGCAGGCAGGCAAAGAAAGAGGAGGTACAAGACTAGAAAAAGAAGAGATATGGTTTAGGTTTAAACTGAAGATAAGCTGACAGTTAGAGAAGAAAGGTCAACCACTCCCAAAAGACTTTAGCTTAGCTTAGTCTTATATATTCTAGTTGTAAAAGCTCACAGAAAGTCTCCATGTCAGTTCTGTACCACTGGAGAACTACTCTTTTCTCGAATTCTTGCCACATTTGGTTACACAAAGAAAAAAAGTTGGCAGCATAAAAGAAAACAGCCTTATGTAATTAGACCATGTATTATGGTCTTTATTTTAGTGGGAAGAGGAGTATCTTCCATTAGGTAAATGAAAATCAAAATGGATTAATCTGGGTTCCTTGCTGCTTGCTATCTTGATCAAATACATGTTGTAGAAGCAACACTGTCATAGCCAAGATTGTCTAGGAATACGTATGGTCTAAAAGAGAAGAAATATTTTTTATTAGACCAAGTGACAGAGTTGGAAAGAAACTAGCTTTCAGGTACGGAAGCCCTTCAGCAGATTAAGAAGCTGTATGCTTAAAGCTTGTCAGCTTTTCCACCTATGTAAGTTTGTTTTTCCCATAAATGTTTTGGTCTCTCTCTCTCTCTCTCTCTGATATATATGCATATGTGTATATATGTACAGACACAAACACACACAGTGTACATATACATGTATATATACACATACATATACACACTCACATTTTCAGATATTTGCCAATTGTCACTTATGACTACTGTAGACAAGCTGAACATCATTGGCTTTTAAGTGAAATAACAATTAGTGCTCCTCTCACGACCTCTCAAGTTTAAAGGTTTAACCCTGTATTCTTCTGCTACAATGTTCATTCACCAGACAGCATCCAGAATTTGTTACTGTACCATGCATAGCATTCCTTTCTTTTTTATGCTTTTTAATGTCTGTTTTACACCACTAGGGAACCATCCCTGAACTACTTATCACTTACATACCTAAAATAGTTGTCATCTTTAATTCTGTTCTCTCCCAGGTGCAATCTGATTACCTCTAAAGGCTCTTTTTGCCTATCAGCTCTAAAATCCATACGCAGAGGTAGACTTTTACTTGAGTTCTTATATCATGCCTTAGTCATTGCAACATTCTCCTTTCTGACCTTAAATGCAGTCCTGCCCACTCACCATCCAATGTGAATGCTGCTGTTAATAATGCTCTTCTCAACCACAAAACTCTCATCTCTGGATTCTCTAAGCTGTTTTTCTTTTCACTACATTAAACAACAAAAATCACTCTCACTTTCAAAGATGTTCACAGCCTAACTGGAGCCCATTCATCCCTTATCCAATATTAACATGCTATGTCCCCTCCCCAATATCAGCTTGTCATATATGCAGTCATGCATTTTCATGTTTTCTCCCATGCCACTGTTCCTGCTTGAAGAGACACTCCACAAATATCCATTTAGTTACCTGGACTAACCCTCCTCAACTTCCTTTCAAATCTCTCCTTTTCCATGACACCTCTAAAATACAAAAGGAAACTATGAAAAAAACTGTAAATACTTAACAGTTATTACACTGCTGAGATCACAATCTATTATCTGGTCATCGAATGGGATATCTAAACTAAGAAATCCCTGAGAACCTAAGACATAGGAAGCACATTATAGAAATGCAGGAATTTCTCTACTGGAAGCGATGCAGGTATGTCAAGGCCAGCACTGAGCTGAAGCTAATATACCTGGATGAATCAGTTCTCACCTGATGATTCACAACCGGATTCTGAGCAAGCAGATGCCTTTCCACTGTGCTCCTCAACCCCTCATGGTCCAGGGAGCATGGTGCAGGACCTGCCTCACCAGGTGCCTGTAAGAGGTTTCTGCATCTGTGGCACAATGTAGCTGGGACAAGCAACTGAAAGCTGACTGCACTAACCTCCTACCACTGCTTTCATGTATTCCTCCCTGTACTACTCTTCATTTGAGACTTCTCACTAAAATACAAAGGGTAGAGACCACCTTTTCTTCTGACATATTTAGCATGAGATCCCAATCCATGCATTGGGCTCACAGGTATTATGTTAAATCAAATACATTACCCAGAAATTCCTTCCAACTGGCTGCTTTGCTTTCAGATTTGTTCTCAGTTTAAAACAAATTTGCCCACTTT